TAGACAAAGGCGCCTCTGGGATTCCATTTTGGAAGCGCATAAAATGCTCTTTACCATCACGAAATATTCTTAGTTCGAGCCAAACAGACAAAGCATTTACAACCGAAACACCCACTCCGTGTAACCCCCCAGAAATCTTGTAGGTATTTTGATCAAATTTACCGCCTGCATGCAATTGAGTCATAATTACTTCAGCAGCAGAAATCCCTTCTTCTTCATGAATATCTGTAGGGATACCTCTTCCATTATCAGTGACACTTACAGATCCATCTTGATTCAGCTCTATAATGACTCATTGCATATTCCAGCTAAAGCTTCATCAAAAGCATTATCTACTACTTCGTATATCATATGATGCAGGCCTGTCCCATCATCTGTATCACCTATATACATCCCAGGACGTATCTTAACACCCTCCAGACCTTTATACACTTTTATTGAATTTGCAGAATATTGTGAAGACATGACATATCTATACCCTGGCAAACATTTTTATTCAAGCATCTGATAGATCTTTGCCACAACTATCTCACTCTTATTTCAAGTATTCAATTAAGAGTCACGCCCCAACGTTCAATAGCTTTATACGCAGCATTTTTTTCAGCATTTTTTTTTGTTGCTCCTGAAGCTTGAACCTTTGGATAACCTTCTAAATCCAACTCAACAAAGAACACAGGATTATGATCAGGACCGGATTTTGATGTCAATTCATATTTAGGAAGAGATCCATATTTTTTTGCATCCATTCTTGTACAACACTTTTTGGATCAAGAGGAATATCCTGCATGCTTTCAATAATAGGGAGCCACAAGCTATAAGTAAAATTATATACAGCGTCAAAGCCTCTATCCAGGTAAACAGCTGCTATCAAAGCTTCTAATACATTTTCCAATGTACTGTTGTTGCATTGTACATTGTTTTTTCTATCTCCTTCAGAAAGAATGATACTGTTCTCTATATTTATATTATTAGCAATTAGTGCTAAAGTTTCCTGCTTCACTAAAGAGATATGACGCTTTGATAATTCTCCGGCATTAGCATGAGGAAACTTTTGGAAAAGTACAGCCCCCATAACAAAACCTAATATAGCATCTCCAAGAAACTCGAGTCTTTCGTAATTAAAGAAAGAATCGTAACCAGGATGCGTAAGAGCTTCTCTGAGCAGAGCCTCATCTTGAAAAACATAATCTATCTGCAACTTGTTATCTTTCTTAGGCAAAAAAAACTCCTGTTTTCTAAGATAAGTATTGTAAAGCAGTTTTTAACAGCTGGGAAAAATCTTTATCTGAATTCTCCTTGTATATCTTCTTCACTATATCACGCACATTAGAGAGAGGATAGCCTAAATTAGCTAAAGCAGAGACCAAGTCATTTTCTTTGGAATTTTGATTTGCAAATGCAAGATTAGAATCCTGTAGCTCAGCTACAACTCTAGAAAATAATTTAGGCCCCACTCCAGTTCCTTTGAGCTTTGTTGGCTCATTATGCAATATAGAATGTTGAAGAGCCTCTAATCCTAAAGCGGTAATCATATTTCCAGCAATTTTATGACTAATCCCCCTTACCTTCAAAAGCTCAAAAGAAATTTTAACTCATTTACCGTGCGGAAGCCGTACAATTTAATCTCAGTGTCTTTAATGTATAGTTCAATAAACAAAGAAATTTCTTGTCCTAAATCATAGCACGCGTTAAAAACATTAATAAAATATCCAACGCCACGCACATCAAGAACAAGCGATTCATCAAAAACTTCATCAACAATTCCTGTAAGCTTGCGTATCATAAAGTTCAGAGATATATGTACTGATCCACATGATCATTACATAAATATAGAAAAAAACAATTGATTATATCACAAGCAAATCTTAAAACGACTTACTAATGCAAATATGGATTTTTCTTATACACTATGTATAGTGACAAAAAAAACATGTACAAACTCTGATATACTGTTGACCTTTTTAAGGATCATTGCTAAGATGCGCTCCTGAGGGGCCCCAGGTTTCTTGTTATATAGGAGTGTAGCTCAATTCAGGTAGAGCACTGGTCTCCAAAACCAGGGGTTGCAGGTTCAAGTCCTGTCTCTCCTGTTTCTTTTTTTAGGTATTGTTATGTCCCTATCTGGTATTATCTCTTTAGGCAAACAGCTTCTATCTGAGTTCAACAAAGTGTCTTGGGCTGGAATACAAGATTCGTTCTTCACATTATTGGTAATACTTTTTGTTGTGGGGATTCTTTGCTCCTTCTTCACATTGGTGGATTTCGCCTCTTTGAGTGTAGTCAAAAAAGTTGTATTTGGGTTTTTGTAAAATGGAGAATCCCAAAGCAAATTGGTACGCACTTCAGGTGCGCGCAGGAAGCGAATCAAAAGTTGCCGATGAGATTAAAAAGATTCGCGCTAAAAATGAAGATTCTTTTTTAGAAGAAGTTCTATTGCCAGTAAGTAATCTTTATAATGACGTATCGGATCAAGATAAAAAGAAGATAAAAAAACAGGTTTCAGGTTATTTATTTGTTAAAATGGTCAACAGCGAAGAAAATTTCAGAAGCCTTCGCAATGTTCCACATGTAGGACGATTCTTAACAACTGCTGCTAAGAGCGATCCGGCTATCATAACCGAACAGCATATACAAGAAATGAAGGCAAGTCTGGAGTCACAAGCTTTGACTTCTAGTGGCCCTATTAGTTTGGGGGTGGGTGATAAAATTAAAGTCATAGATGGTCCTTTTGAATCGTTTACCGGCAATATACAAAGCATCGATAAAGATAAGAAAAGAATCGTAGCTTGTATATTTATTTTGGTATCAGCACTAGTGTCGAACTAAACAGTGACCAAGTATCTATTATTGAGGAGTAACATATGAAGTTAAAAGATTCTGTTCAGGTAAATTTAAAAATTCCAGCGGGGCAATCATCTCCGTCGCCTGCAATAGCTTCAGCATTAGGACAAAGAGGAGTTAACATCGTAAAATTCTTTGAAGAGTTTGCTGCTTTAACTTCCAAGGGGTTCGAACCTGGAAAGACCTTGATTGTTGTTGTGTTCGTAAAAAAGAATAAAGCCTTTAAAATAATTATCAAAGGTCGCCCCTTGTCCGATATGATCAAGGAGGCGCTCAAAATAACTAAAGGGTCGGCAACCCCTGGTAAAAATTTTGTATCTTCTATTGATGACGACATTGCCGAGTTGATAGCAAAAGAGAAGCTACCCTTTACAAATGCCTATGATGAAGCTGCAGCTATCAATATGGTGTTTGGAACGGCAAGATCTATGGGCATAAAAATTAACAGGAGCAATAATGAGTAATAATGATGCACATAATATTAAAGACGCTTTATCTAAAGCAATTTACGGCGCTAAAAGCAAGTTTATTGAAGCAATAGATGTTTCGATTCAGCTTGGCGTGGATTCAAAAACAGGACATGTAAAAGGGGTTGTGGACTTACCTCATGGACTGAGAAAGGAAGTAAAAATCGCAATACTGTCCGACGCTAAATCTACTATAGTGGATGATAAATCTGTAGATATAATAGTCGTTCCAAATAAACCTGACAAATCAATTCTCAAGCTATCTTTTTATGATTGGTATGTCTGTACTCCTGATCTGATGCCTAAAATCGCATCATCTTTAGCAAAATACTTGGGCCCTAAGGGACTTATGCCTAATCCGAAATTTGGCACTGTTAGCGATGATCTCCCTGCTGTTGTAGATAGATTGAAATCTGGAATTCGAAGGTTTAAATCTGAGAAATCAGGAATAGTGCACTTTAAATTAGGGAATACAGAGTTTTCCGTAGATTCCTTGATTGACAACCTCAACGCTTTATTAGAAGCAATAACATCTAATAAGCCTAATGGTGTGCACATAGGCTCCTTGATAAAAAAACTATATATATCTTCTACAATGGGCGAAGGATATCTTGTTTCTTTAAATTCTATAAAAGGGTAATATGCAAAATAATAACAAACATAAATCGTCTCTGAGTTAGCTACTATGTTTC